TGCTGCTACAACACAGCTTACTTTACCAGACGCTCTCAATCGCACAGGAGAGATAGATAGGCAAGCCTCTCCTGTGCGATTGAGAGGGTCTGGTAGAGCACTGGCATTACATTTTTTATGTTTAATTTAAAGTTTAAAAGATCTTTAACTGTGTTTGTCTGTGTCCTTTATAAAGTTTGTATCTCCGCTACCTGGCATTTCATTTTATGACACACATGGGCCCGCCCAACAAGGTCTCATTCACGTCATATCTGGCCCTCATAACAAATAAGTTCAACACCCCTGTGTCCTAGATGATGACTCCAAAGCAGCTTCCTAAAAATGTACTAAACGAATTTACAGAGAGCACAGTATCAAAACAAACAAGGCCAAGAGCAGATGTGACTTCGTGGGTGGGTGTCCACCTGGATACTCCACGTGGCCAAGGCCACAGGCTATGGACCAAGAGCCCTTCAGCTTACGCCCACTCAGCTGGAGAAAGGGGAACGCTCACGACCTCCATGTTTCAAGGTGCTAGCCATCAGCAGCACAACAGAAGGCGGCTTGTTAGTCTAATCTCCATCCCCAGGATGCATCTTTGTGAAGCCAGCTTCAAGATCACTTTGACATACACGCCCTCCACTCCTACCTCTAATCCAGCCCCCTCAGTGGGAACAATGCTCCCTCCTCCAGTGAACCGCATAATTCCATTTCCAAGAGAAAGACACACTCCGCAGGCCGGGCTCTCTTTGGTTTCCCTCGGTTACCTGAGAAGGCTTGACCCATTGTTTGCTTTTGGCTCAACTTGGAGAGGCGGAACGCACTTGATAAGCTCCAGTATGCACTTTGGCTTTTATTCTATAGCCTTTGCCAGAGAAAGGTAATGGTAAGCAGCCCATGGAATAATGCTGCCCAGCTCTTCCATGTGACTGAAGGTAACCTGGGAGTCCTGCTTAGCTGCTTGGTCAAGTGCTTTGGAGACTGTACAAACACCAGTGGATCGGTGGAAAGGCCAGAGGGTCCGTGTGAGCGCCCTTGTTTTATTTGTCTCCTGCAATGAAAATTCCTCCGGTGATTCGTGCGTCGTATTTTGAAAACATGAGGAATCGTCTCCCCCCTGACAGTCACTACTGCAGCACAGGACGTTCAAAATATGGAAAGCAAAGGCAGCAGAAGGAAGCCTGCGCAAGACCAAACAAAAACTGTGTTTTAGCTGGCCTCACAAGTGCCATGTGCCAGTATTCGAGATGGAAAAAAAAGTCCAAGTGGGACTGGATAAGTTCTTCTCCTGACTGAGAAACCTATAGGAGAACACTTCGACCTTCCGGGACATTCAGTGGGTAGCTGTTTATTACAAAGGGACTTCAGGAACAGAATGGAAAGGGAAATTGCTGAATTACAAATTATTAAGAACATAAGAGACGCCAATGTTGGATCAGGCCAAAGGCCCATCCAGCCCAACACTCTGTATCACACAGTGGCCAGAAATACCAGTGCCATCAGGAGGTCCACCAGTGGGGCCAGGACATTAGAAGCCCTCCCACTGTTGACCCCCCCAAGCACCAAGAAGACAGAGCATCACTTGCCCCAGAGCCCCTAGCTATACCTTGTGACTAATATCCACTGATGGACCTCTGCTCCATATGCCTATCTAATTCCCTTTTGAAGCCATCCATGCTTGTAGCTGCCACCACTTCCTGTGGCAGTGAATTCCATGTGTTAATCACTCTTTGAGTGAAGAAGTACTTCCTTTTATCCATTCTAACCCGACCGCTCAGCAATTTCATGGACTGCCCACGAGTTCTTGTATTGTGAGAAAGGGAGAAAAGTAACTCTTTCGCTACCTGCTCTTTCCCATGCATAATCTTATAAACCTCAATCATGTCACCCCTCAGTCGTCGTTTCTCCAAGCTAAAGAGCCCTAAGCGCCTTAACCTTTCCTCATAGGGAAAGTGTTCCAACCCTTTTATCACTTTTTCTGCACTTTTTCCAAAGCTATATCCCTTTTTAAGGTGTGGTGACCAGAACTGCACACAGTATTCCAAATGAGGTCTCACCATTGATTTATATAGGGACATTATGATATTGGCTGATCTGTTTTCAATGCCCTTCCTAATAATCCCCAGCATAGCATTGGCCTTCTTTATTGCAGTCACACACTGTCTCGATATTTTCAGTGAGTTATCTACTACGACTCCAAGATCTCTCTCTTGGTCAGTCTCTGCCAGTTCAGACCCCATCAATGTGTATTTATATTTAGGATTTTAAGCATGGACAGATTCAAGAGGGAATTAGATAAACACAAGAAGGGGGGACCCGCGATACTCGCGGAGGGGCTGTGGGAGGGGGGCCCCGGGGGGGGGGGGGGGAGAAACAGCACACTAAACGCCCTAAGAACAAATCGCTGCCCCTTTTGTATGACTCGCCGAGAGCACTTTTAGCCAAAGGCCAAATTTTGCTTGAATCTGAGGAAAACGGGAATAAGGGTTTAGAATGCAGTTCTTACGCCTCAGTCTCCCCCACAGACCTCCCCCCCCCACACACACAATCAGTCCCATTTCCCAAATCGTTCCACATGAAAGTGATCTTCAGAGCAGCCCTGCTTCAGTGACGCTCTCCCCTAAAAGAGCTCAAGCTCCCTTCCCTCAGAGGAGGAATCTAAGTGCTGCACGAAGGGGCTGAATCAAGACGTCTTCCCAGCAAGAGAGATGGGGACACAACACGATACCCCAGGGGTGTCAAACATGCGGGGCGGGGGCTGGTTCAGGCCCCCGGAGGACTTCTATCAGGCCCGCAGTCGAACTGGCTGTCTTCTGCTGCTTCTTCCAAGTTCTGCTGCTGCTGCTGCGTCATCGTAGGTTTGCAGCTTACAGATACACCCCTGAACAGCATACTCAGGATTGCAGCAGCACAGACATTTTGATGTGTTAATTCAGAGCAAGAGGTGTCAATCATCAGACACGAATAAACAAAATATGGCAAGAGTGCTAATGTTTTAAGCATGTTTTTATTTTAAGTTAAAAAAAAACCTTTGTGTTTGTGTCCTTTATAAAGTCTGTATCTATGTTACCTGGCATTCAATTTATGACACATGTGGCCCGGCTCAACAAGGTCTCATTTATGTCAGATCCGACCTTCATAACAAATGAGTTTGACACCCCTGAGATACACGAAGGCACTCAAGAGTTGCTTCCAAAAGGAACAATTCTGCTTCAGCCAAGACAGACAACAGGATTTTGCTTACCAGTCCGGAGGAGTACCTTCTTGGCAAAGCGAAATCTCCCTTTGCCTCGCTGGCTTGGCATATTACTCCCGTTCTGCCGCCACTTCACTGGCTGCCCATCAGTTACCAGGTTCAATTGAAAGTAGGGGCCGTCACATACGAAGTCCTTCATGGCCTTTGACCCTCACATCTGAGAGACTGTCTTTCCCCCCATGCTCCGCCACAACCACTCACTTCATCCAAGCAAGGCCTTCTGCAGCCGCACCCCAGCAAATGGGAAAGATCAGCAGCTGTCTGTACACGTGGCCTTCTCCGCTGAGGCTCCCACTTTGCGGAACGGTCTTGTGGTGTCCTTGCTTATCGGGGAGACAGTTTTACTAAAACACTCTCTGTGTACCTAAACTTGGTAGATTTCTGCTGCCACCAGGAATTAAAAATTCCAAATTTCTCTTTTGGTAGAATGACCCAGGGTCTGGGCACTTCAGAGGACTATGTGGTCCTGAGGAAGGACTATTCTGATTGCTGGGATAAGTTTAAACGAAAAATGATTTATTTAATAAAGAACAAAATAGGTTTCTGATTATTTTGGAATGTTGCTGATGAAAGGAACTTGTAAATATAACTGGCAAAGCTTGGTGTCACAGAGTCTCTCAGACTCCCAAAACTCCACTCTGACAGGCGTAGACACTCAGTCTAACCTTTCTCTATCTCATCTATATAGCCACACAGGCAGAACTGTTTGTCTTATTCACACAGAATAGTCTCAAAAACTCCCATAGTTACACAGACTATGCTCTCTCTTCAAACTTCACACACCGAATCTCTCTCATCAACACCCCTCCTTCCCACACTCTCAGTCATCAGCCAATCACCTCACACTTGTCTCTCTGTATCACTCTTCTTACAGTACTGCAGTCAAACTAAAAATTTAAAGAAACACACACACCAAAACATGAAATCGTTACAGGTCTGCCTGAGGCGGTCAGGAAGGCTCCCCTCTCCCGGCTTTCTGCAATGTATACAAAACTGAATTATTCAAGAGGGCTTTTCTACGCAGGTAATAGGATAGCTCCGTTACAAAAAGCTTCACAAAATTACTTGGAAAAATTATGGGGGACTGTGGTCTGTACTACTGTGTATAGTTTGCTGTGGGCCAGCTCCTGGTGTGTAATTTTGCATTATTTAATGTACTAACATCAGTTCTGTTTTCAGACTTCTGGTTGGATCTACCACCCAAATCCTATTGAAGAAGAGAAGATACTGGATTTATACCCCGCCCTTCACTACCCAAGGGAGTCTCAGAGCGGCTTACAAACTCCTTTCCCTTCCCCTCCCCACAACAGGCACCCCGTGAGGTGGCTGCGGCTGAGAGAGCTCTGAGAGGACTGCTCTTGAGAGAACAGCTCTGACAGAACTATGGCTTGCCCAAGGCCATCCAGCGGCTGCAAGTGGAGGAGTGGGGAATCAAACCCGGTTCTCCCAGATGAGAGTCTGCGCACTTAACCACTACACCAAACTGTTTATTGGGTGTCCCATCCTGTAGAATGTCCTGACTCCTGACTCACTCTGTGTCACCCGCCTTGAGTCCCAGAAATAGTGTAAAAAAAATCTAATAAAATGTTGCAAGAACATACAAATGACCACCCAAGAGAATGAACCAGCTGTTCTGCCAGTTTTTATTATATACGTTGGGGGGATAAATGAAAATATCCATAGAATGAACAGGATTTACATCATGATTTGTCATATCTCAGCAATAATCGCATGTTCCTTAAGGCCAAGAGGACATGATTCATGGTTAGAAGGTTGGTGATTTTCAGACTACATTTCAAAACTAAAAACCAGGTGAAACTAGGAGGGGAAACATCCACCTTCCCCTGCAGGCATATATTCAGTGCTCATGCACAGCAAGTGCCCCTTGGCTAAGTCTCTCCTTGCCTTCCGTGGCATTGTGCGCGGAAGCCTGTTGTCGATGCGAACAAGTTTTCACCACCAGTTCCCAATGCCTATTCCCAAACTGGCATAAAAGCCTGTGAGGACGAGACGTTCAGCCGACGGGACTTCTAAACGGCAACGGCTTCCTCGCCTTCCCCTCCTGCTCAGCCTCCATTCTCTGTGGAGTCGCTCAGCCTCTTTGCCGCTCCCTTTTGGGGGGTTTCCTGGGGCTGCTGGCACCTGTAGCAGCAGCACCACCACCACCACCTAACCTTCTTGCCGGTAAGGCACTGGAGTTCTTCCTTCCAGAACAAGCCTGCACATATCAGCCCTCCTGGGTGGCTCCCTCTTCCCCCACCACAGAGGCTCTCTTGCGCCTGGCCTCTTCTTGCCTGTCTGCCCTCACTCATCTGGGAGGGGGGGAGCCAGAGCTCCAAGTTCACAGCTGGACCCTCCGCTGGGTGTGCGGTGGTGGCTTTCTGCCGCCGTGCCACTGCTCGGTCAGCTCACCTGCCAAGCTCTGCAATACCGATCTCTAGAGTACGGGTGCAACTCTACCAGTTGTGGGGCCCACAAGCTCATCTGTTGTTGATAAGGCTCGGCGTGACGCAGTGCTGGCCCGCAAAATCCTCTCCGTGCCTGCTGCCGTTGGACTGCACCTGCCAGATGGACTGGAGCGACTCCGTGGGATGAGACGGGCCAGAATTTATCTCGTTAGTCCTCAAGTCCTGGTTGCAGCCAGAGTCCCACTGCTGAGCAGGCCTTGCTTTCTTCCCAAGAGCTTCGCCTGCTGGCTCCTGAAGGGCTCGATACTCTCCGTCAGAAAGGGGGAAAGCTCGGCGTTCCCATGGCTGGACCCTCTAGGACAACAGAGAGGACAGAAAGTTTTATTTACACACTTCTATACTGTGGCATCCCTGGGGGCACAGAAAACTACTGTGTGAGAGCCAGTGTGGTGTTGCAGTTCGAATATCAGACTACGATCTGGGAGACCCGGGTGTGAATCCCCACTCTGCCATGGAAGCTCGCTGGGTGACCTTGGGCCAGTCACACGCTCTCGGACTGACCTACCTCACAGGGTTGCTGTGAGGATAAAACAGAGGGAAAGAACAATGCCGGCCACTCTGAGTCTCTTACTGGGGTGAAAGGCAGAGTATAAATGAAGTAAATAAATTGCCAGAACAAAAAAGTTTCCAGCTAACGGGGTGGGGTGTGTGGTCCTGCTGTATTTTGTATCCTTGAGCAGCTCACAAATCAGAGGTGGCCAGGCAGCCGTCAGCTCAATCAGTGTTTGCCCAGCTGTTTTATCTATTTATTTGATTTGTATCCCATCCCTCTACTGCAAGAAGAAGAAAGAAGAAGAAGAAGAAGAAGAAGAGGAGGAGGAGGAGATTGGATTTATACCCCGCCATTCACTATCCAAGGGAGTCCCAGAGCGGCTTACAAACTCCTTCCCCTCCCCACAACAGACAGACACCCTGTGAGGGAGGCGGGGCTGAGAGAGCTCTGGCAGAAACGGCTCTTTTTTCAAGAACAGCTCTTATCAGAACTATGGCTCGTCCAAGGTCATCCAGCAGGTGCAAGTGGAGGAGTGGGGAATCAAAACCGGTCCTTCCAGATTAAAGTCTACACACTTAACCACTACACCAAACTGGCTCTCAAGGAGGAGGAGGAGATTGGATTTATACCCCATGGCCCTTCACTACCCAAAGTTGTCTCAGAGTGGCTTACAAACTCCTTTCCCTTCCCCTCCCCACAACAGACACCCTGTGAGGCGGGTGGGGCTGAGAGAGCCCTGACAGAAATGACTCTTTTTTCAAGGACAGCTCTTATCAGAACTACGGCTTGCCCAAGGTCATCCAGCCAGGTGCAAGTGGAGGAGTGGGGGATCAAACCCGGTTCTCCCAGATCAGAGTCCGCACACTTAACCACGACACCAAACATGGGGCTCGGGGTGGCTCCCAACATTTTAAAAGACATAGCACTGCACCAAAAGGTTCGTTGTTAAAACAGATTGATACAGTTAAAATCTTGACCTTCTCCCAGTATCTAGAAATATTCCAAAGAGAACAAAAAAGAGGTGGCCAGGCTCCACTGAAAATAAGGCAGGCTCCACTGAAAATAAAAGGACAAACCAAAGGCCTGCTGGAACGATTCGGTCTTACAACGTACCACAGGGCACGTGTTTCCTCTGATAAAGCATTCTACCAGGATGGGGCTATGAGATGCCACTCTATTCGACTTAATTCAAATATACTTGATCATTACTTTAAAACAAACAGCAGTGTTCCATGCCTTGCCAGTACAAGATGAGCAGTGCGATTTCCTTAGATTCCTTAGACTAGTCAAGGT